GTATTAGCACCCCAAATACGCCCTACCTAAGGTAAGCTGCATTGTTTTATTGTCTGATAAAATCTAAGGTTTTGTCGTGTTTTCTAGTTGTTGGTGTGGTTTAAGAAAAAGTCCTCCTTAGTAAAAAGATCCTTATCTTATTAGGTAATTCTAACGTTAACAAAAGAATTTACTATCCAGAATACGTCTTATGTATAAGATCGTAACCCCAAATATTAAAAGAAAAAAAATAATTTTTTTTTGTAATTTTTGGAATATTGGCCTAGTTCTCATGGCTTAAATAAACCGGTTATTAAAACCAAAAAATGATGATATAAAACCATGATAAAACGCACTTTTAAGTACTAATCAGCAAGGTGGGCAGTTCCTGGTGGCAATGTTGTTTCAAACGATGGAGAAAGACACCAGTGAGAGAGGTTACAATTCTTCTCTTTAAAAAAAAAAGCCCCCCCACCCTTTACAGCTGCTAAGGGGAGAGCAGTATTTATAGGCAAAAAGGGGAGCGGGGAAGGCCTCGCTGTGCATGGAGAGCAGGGGAACATCGGGTGAAGTCTCCAACAGGCGTGGCTTTCCAGGGCACGCCAGGTGAGTTCTCTAAATAGGGGGCGTGGGGCTTTAGCAGCATGCGGGAAAAGGAACAATGTCAAAACGACACTGTTGAGTTTTTTTAAATTATTAATTATTTAATTTTATTTTTGTGGGGGGCTCAAAATGGGTTACAAGAGATGCCCCCTCTTTATAATACTTACGGAGCAGGGATTTTGCACAGTAAGTTTTATAAAGATAAACAAAATTGAACTACCGTAACTGATCTTGATTGACCTGAAACTTTGTATTTACAACAAATCCTCTTTGACCCGAAACTAAGATCAAAACTCAGTCTTCTCAAGATCGCAATCTGGCTATCCTTGAGCCTCTAACTTTGGTTATATTAACCTGGCATTCCATCTGAGATCCCTTCTGGCAATTTTTTTTAGCTAAAAATCTATATTGGTAGTTTGGCCAAACTAAAATCCCATCTTGCGATTTCCCTTAGCCAAAGCTGATATCTGTATTGCGGTTGGGCTAACCTGAGATCCCTTTCGGCGATCCCCTTTAACTAGAACCATTATTCTGTGTGCGGTTGGGCTAACCTGAAATCCCATCCGACGATCCCCTTTAACTATAAGCAAAAATTTATTTTGCAACTCAGTCAACCTGGAATCCCATCTGGTGATTCCCTCTTAACCAACGCTGAATTATGAGATCCCTTCTGGTGACCTCCTTTAAGCAAAACCAAAAACTATATTTGTAGTTCGATCAACCTGGAATCCCATCTGGCGATTCCCTTTAAGCAAAGCTACTTGAGATCCCATCTGGCGACCTCATTCAACTAGAACTAAAAATATATGCAGCTTGATCAACCTGAAATCCCATCTGGTGATTCCCTTTAATCAAAGTTACCTGAGATCCCATCTAGCGACCTCATTCAACCAACACCAAAGAATATGTGTAACTTGGTCAGCCTGAAATCCCATATAACGATTCCCTTTAACCAAAGCCACCTGAGATCCCATCTAGCGATCCCTTTTAACCAAAACCAAAGAATATGTGTAACTCGGTCAACCTGAAATCCCATCTGGCGATTCCCTTTAACCAAAGTCACCTAAGATCCCATCTAGCGATCCCTTTTAACCAAAATCAAAGAATATGTGTAACTCGGTCAACCTGAAGTCCGATCTGGTGATTCCCTTTAACCGAAGTCACCTGAGATCCCATCTAGCGATCCCTTTTAACCAAAACCAAATAATATATGTTACTCGATCAACCTGAAATCCCATCTGGCGATTCCCTTTAACCAAAGCCACCTGAGATCACATCTAGCGATGCAAAACAAAACATTCATGCAATGATTTATGATTAGATGTCATGCATGCATTCTTACCTGGTTTTGAAACATAGGTCCCATCACCTTCTCTCGACATGAGCTTGCTTTTAAAGTCGTATGCTAGATTTATTTTGTGTGCCGCCTATCATATCTTTGAGAAGAAGTCTTTGACCTTAAGTAGCTTTTCAAAAATGTATGATTTGTTATTGCCTTCTTTGTCATGCTCTTGTCAAATGCCTTTAGCTTAATTTTTTAAATCTATGGGCTTCCATCCCATTTAAAAATACATAAAACATTTCATGAAACATCTCTTATTGCCCCCTAGTGTAGGGGTGTGATCCTATTTTGGGCTTTTATATAAAGAAATTCATTCAGCCAATGATAAATGACACGACGAAAAGATTGATTTCATCTCTCAAGTGTAGGAGTATCGAAGTAATAAATAACCCGGCAAGACTGGGGTCGAACCACAGGGAGGTTAATTGTACAAATTATAGACAATAATTGTAAACAACAACAATAATAACAATAACAACAACAATAATAATAGTAGCAATAATAATAGTAGTAATAGTAGTAGTAGTAGTAGTAGTAATAGTAATAGTAATAGTAATAGTAATA